GTTAATATTAACTATGATTCAGAACAGTGTCTTTATTGAATGAGTTTCGTTTTTTCTTACAGTAAAGCATTACTGATGATGCTCCATGCTGAAATAAAACAATCATTTTAGTTTTACTGTAATTTACTAAGATAATATGCCTGGTTTTGAGTCAGTCTCTTTTTAAGTTCTTTGAAAAAAACCTGGCGGCCATGAYTGGTTTAATGGGCAAGCTCGAAGAAGATACTAATGTGACAAAATGTCTGCCATGACGAATATATTTGAAAGCTTCACGCTGTGATGTCCTTTAAGGCCAATCTATACTTGGTTTTCTTAGCGTTTTGAGTGAGTTTTCTAAAGAGAATTKACCACAATTTTAATCGTCAGTGAAATTTGTCACTGTAGACATATAATCCCTTCGTACATGCTGCCTTCAGTCGATCCCACGCAGACAGGTAGCAGACTGGTGAGGGAAGATTTTCCTTAAACTCTCACTTGTTTAGAAAGAACCATTGAGTGAATTTTAGGAAATGTAATTCAAGAATATATTTAGTAAGATTAAAAACATGTTTTGTTTAGTTAATGGATCTTGTGGTAAAACATTCAGCATAAAGGCGGGAAAGGTTATCCTAGTATCTATTGAGTTCTACTCCCCCTCTCAAAARCGACTTCCCTTATTTCTGAAAATATGTTGGTGTAATCAGAAAAACATGTGAAAATTGGGAAATGTAGTGMCTTTCAGTTYTGAMCGTCAAAAACTCAGGTGTTTTGTACGTTGTGATGTTTAAATTAAAGYCAMAACTGAGAAGATTTCTGAATTTACTCGAAAACATCCGTTGAGTATTGTATTCCTTAAAGATACGTGATGAGTGTCACAAAGAGTTTCCTAGGCTTCTGAATGATATATAAACACAATAAAGAGGGTTTTACATCGCGCTAATTGGATTGAGGCTCTTTCTTTTGTATGGCAAAAACCAACGATAAATAAGGACAAGAAGCGGTAAATATTTTAGAAAAAAAAAGATTTGTCTAATTATTGTTGTCTTTCGCTCAAAGAAAATGTTTTTTATAGCTCGGAACCCATGGATGAATTCAGTGGAAAATCAAAATGAATTAAGATTTCTAAACAAGAAAGCTTAAYATATTCTTATATTTATAACAATAATAAGAGCGGAATTGTTATTCGACTTATATTCGTTTGATAAATGTATTAAGTCGCGTAAMAAAGTTGAGACGGTTTACACSACCAATCACAGTAACGTTTCGAGCGAGCTAATTTYCTTTTCCTTTTTGTTGTTGAAAACATGAAATATATACGATTTTAAACCTTTTCACCGATATGCTCCAACCCCCCAAAAAATCAATTCTCGCTATGCCCGTTTTTTTGTTCATATCTATTTCGCAATTATTGAGTTGCCTAGCGATCTATTTAAACCGCAATAATCCATACTCGTTAAATCATCCCTTTAACTAACCAACCAACCAACCAACCAACCCATCAACCAGCCCACCTACTAATCAACCATCCAAACCACCAATAAATCAATCAATCAACCAACCAACCCGCAATTAACCAACCTACCCACCCACCAATCAATCCACCAATCTACCAATAACCAACCCACTAATCAACCAACCAACCAACCCACTAATCAACCAACCAACCAAACCACAAGTCCACCTGAAACCAATCAACAAAACCATCCATCCATCGATCACCCAACCAAGCAGTCAACAAAAAGTATACGTACTTATTTTGATAATCATTTTTGACAGGGTGTGTCAAGTCCTCAAAACGGTGCATCCAGTGACGACAATAACTCGTGTAAAATCTGCCGAGATCCATCGGTTGATGATGAAATCATCTCACCTTGTTATTGCACTGGAACAATGTCCCATGTACATAAACGATGCCTGGAAGAATGGCTGTCAACCTCGAACAAATCCTCTTGCGAAATATGCAGCTACAAATTCGATGTAAAACGAAGTCCAAAATCGTTAAAAGAAGTAAGAAAGTAGGRGTTTTCTCGATGGAATGAGATTCAAAATGCCCTGTTCAATCTAACTGAACTTCTTTCTTTTTGTCRCTTTCTGCTTTGTTTAAATTAGATATAAAATATTTTTTTCAGTGGTTAAGTCATCGTCAGAGTCGTATTGAAAGACGGTACATTGGTGGCGATATCGCCTGTTTYATCATCCTCACTCCATTAGTCGGCGCAAGCAGTTACCTATGCGGCAAGGGAGCCTATTACTATTTCGACATGGGGCTTGTATGGCTATCAGTWGGTTTGATAACCCTSAGCGGTTTTCTGTGGTTAATATACATATTCTGGATTGCGGTAACCGTTAAGTTTCATCACAAGATGTGGAACGAGTGGCGACGACATAATCAAATCATTCATTTGATGAGCCACCAACTTACGCATCAAGACGAGGATTGCAAAGAAAATCGCCCGAGTACGGTCCCAGAATGCAATCAGCACTGCGTCTGAAATGCACAATATCGAATTAAAACGCGATTTTCTATAAAATATTGAAATAGAATAAATGATCAATCTCGAAACACTGAAATAGAATTGAAGATCGAGTTTTGAAAACATGGATATAAATGTATGATTAGAATCAATTTTGTAAATATTGCAAAATAGAATATATGATCAACTTTGAAAGCATTAAAATAGAACAAATAATCAACCTTGAAAATGTGAAAACAGAATACCTGATCAACCTCAAAAACACCAAAATGAAATTAATGATCGAGTCTTTTTCCATTTGCTAAAGTATAAAAAAATTCAAAATATAAATATATATGATACTTGTTTTATCTTCTTAGGAAAAGGGACTGACCCTCCTACTACCTTGGAGAATTTAACTATACTTTCAAATTGATATAGTCAAAATTATTGCAATAGACATACCGGAAAAAAGGTTAATTAATGAGCGTAACGYGTTGCTGCGCGGWGACTGTGAGGACCCAAGAACGTCCCCTGCGTCGCCGACCCCGTTTTCGGGTGTCGATAATATCCGCTGCCAGAAAGCACGTTTGCGAGCAATCGCATTCACGTGCAAGTTTGGTTTAATTCGAGAGAAATAACTACAAAATTAGAATTTTCAATAACTAAATTAAAAGAAAAGGTTCTCATCATCATAACACGGAGGCGTTATTACGATACCGGCATGCGGCKCGTTTGTGTATCAGATATACTGGTGACACAATGTGGGCAAATTGGCTTGATAGGAAGACAAATAACGAAATGARAACGAATGAAGAAACTTAAGGCTAGTTATAGCATTGAAACATTAGAACCATTAAAAACACCGCCGATATTGAAAAAGAACAGCGGCACATTTGTAGCAGCTTGTGAAACAACGCTGAAGGCAAAATAAGCCTGGCAATGCACGAATTAAAAACTAACCCTGGTTTGGAACTAGTTAAATTCCAAAAATGTGTCTATACATGCATCAGAACTTTCGGAGAACAATGTGTCCGCCATCTTGAAAAGTTGGACTCGAATCACTAAATTATAACTCCTAAAGGAATTAAAAGCTTCTCAGCTAATGTCAAGTTATATATAATACGATATAATGATAGATTAGTTGACTTAGCAACTACAAAAAGTGTTCTGAGCCACAACATGGTAGTTCGGTCTTACTTTTCAAGATGGCGGACGCATTGTTTTTCGAAAGTACTGATGAGCTCGGGCAATCAAGCCTTGGAATAAAATCAAAACTTATTGCTATAAGTACAGTCTAGTTGGACAAGTAAGAGATTATGTACGAGTTACGAAATTTGCCTCGTATGTGCTATTCATCATGAATTGCATTCCTGGAAAAAGAATAAAAAAAAATTAAAAAATTATAAAAAAAAAGTTTTAAAAAATTTCAAAGAATAAAAACATGGAGTGAACACAATAAAAGCCATTTTGAAAACTCGATCGACGTACTAAAGCTAGCCCACAAAGCACCATGATTTTGCATTTCGAAAAAGTCTATCTTTGAAGAAATGAYAACGTGTGTGCAACAGCTACATGGGTGAAACACGTGCTAGTTGGGTCCAGTGAAAGAGGAAGGACTAMACTACAGGAAATTACTGCTTTGGAGGCCAAGAGGATGCCATAAATCGACAAAAGAAGTAAAAATGCAATTAGACAAATTATACCCTTGAACAGGACATAAAATGTCTCGGGATGACGGACTTGAGAATGTATATATAACGTGTTAACACTTGTACATTGGTGAAACAACACGTGTTTGTCTGGTCTGGTGTAGCATGCTGCTATGAATAATTACCGCAAATTAAGCCGGAATTTCACTACTAAGGGGAAAAACCCTGAATARATGTTGATTAAGAAGAGATTAAGAATGTGTTTTTCTTTGTTTTCTTTTGTTTAAAATTAGCTTATTTTTTGTGTTATGCTTATTATTATGCTTATGTAGATGTCTTATGCCACACGCTTGACTTTATTCCTTTGTATTTTCTTTTGTTCTAGGCTTATGCCTATGCTTATGTCWATGATTATGTCCTAGTGAAAACCAGGTTTCTACTATTTTGCAAATTTGCCTTCATCACAGTTCAAGTATTTTAGTCGTTCTAATCACACGATGAACATTCCGTTTTATGTATAGGATATGGTGGCCTATGGTGTCTCCTTCCCGCGCATTGCTGGCTTATTTTTAGATGCATTATCTTATTGTTAGTTTAAAATATCTTGTGGAAAGGCAGTTGTTTTACTGTACATGACAAAATATCAAAATGACAAATATCAAAATTCATAATTGTGCAATAATTCCACGAAAAGCAATCTTAAATCTCGTTTAGGCCATCAACTACAAATGCAATGAAAAATCTCGTTAGTACAATTGTTATAGCTCACAAAAAGAGGCACGTTTGCAGTGCAATTACGCTTAAAATATTGTTACTAATGGCAGACAATTATCAATGTGTCATCTCGGCATCCGTTCGCCTACGATAAACTTACGTCTTTTTCAGTTTTCATTTTCAAAATGTTTTGTTTTCAAATTATCTTTATAKTCAATCTTATCACTAAGAAATTGTCAATATGGTTAAAATACACATAGGTCTTGTTCTTATCTCTTCGTACTTCACTTTCCATTCTTTTGAAAAGACTTCTACCCCCACACATCGGGCATAAAAAAAATATTTCCGCCCAACATGAACTTTGAATATTTTCTTCAATTTAGAAAAATATGTGCATCTCGCACTAAAAAATACTACTTATAATTATTTATTTCTTGGTCTAACAATTCTATAACAATTATATCGTTCTTCTTAATTTTTAGAGATTTCCCAAATTTAATTTTCCCAAATTGAAGAATTCCTGGAAAATGCTTACATTTGGAAAACCATTCAAGTGCGCATTTGAGTTTTCCTTGCCATTTGATTGGACGAAAGAATGACAAGCGATATACATGCAGCCTGTGATTGGTCTAGAGCTCGAAAAGCCAATATAATGTCGTACGCGTCCGTGTCACAATAAAAATCACCGAAAGTTTAAATATGGCAATCCTTTATTACAAACTTTAAAACATAAATTACTAAAACATCGTTATGTTTTTTCTCCATCTTACAATTATAATTATTAAAATAACTCCTAGAGCATGCTAAATTAATGGTTTTTACATATAAAACGGCTTTACATAGTAGAAATTATGGTATATGCTCACTTATAGAAGTATTTTTCCAAAAAAGTAAGGTTTCTAAAGAGAAAGTTTTGAGTATGATAATTAAAAGTTTTATGCTGCTGATCACAGCAAAATGGCTATGAAACCAATATCTGCAAAATGACAAATAACTTAGACGTGTCTAGTTGTTTTTAAGTATCGCAAAAGTAACTTTCTCGCTTATATACTTTTCAGAGAGTTTATAAAAAGGTCAATGTATGTTTTGTATTTACTTCAAAGACAGCTTATCATTTATACAGCAAAACAACGTCAAGGTGATAAGATTCCGTGCAGCCCTTTTCACACATTTTAGTGCAATAAAAATATTTCTACTCAAAAACGTTTTTCTTGTACATGAACTAATTGAAAACCTATGGCCTTGACAAGGATACGTTTTCGTAGAGCCTCTGTGCTAAATGGAATCAATGAAAAATATAAAGGCGCGAGGAAAAGTCATTATTGTGGACGAAGCCGTCCAGACTAAGATGTTGTCATTAGAATCTATTGTACAAACTTGCTCCACATTAACCAACTCATCTAGAAAGCAGCTGTGAAGAGGAACTCTGGTACTCTTTACATTTTACATGATGGAGCAGCCCTTGTTTAAGTCTCCCTGTAAAATAGAGAATGAATGAGAAAAAAATGTAAGGAGGGAGGGGTGGGTGGGGGCGTATTTTTTTACAAGACCATTACATCCTTCCTTTCGAAACACAGATACTTACATGTTTTTTACCTCTGCCACCACTATCAGTTGAATCAGTTATGAACTGCTGGCAAACTTTCTCTTCAGAAAGAGTTGCAAGCTCCTAAATAAAAAACAGAGAACACATAAGACAAGTGTGCACAAGGTTCCTTCTCATGGTTACTGATATAAAGCCAAATTCTCATTACAATTTCATTGACTTGTCATAAGTTTCATTATTATAGTTTTATTTTATTATTATTAGCTCTTTCCAAGGTGTTAAACAATAAATAATATTGCTTTGCACAGAATTTCTAGAGTGATTTCCCATCGTCTCTGAATGAACAGCCAAGCTTACTTGTAAGTCGACTTTAGACTCATTGCTTTCTTTTGTTCTTTATCTACTGACACACACTAGATAAAAACAATGGAAAATCACTCATATATTTTCCACAACATATTCTGCATTCCTATGTTTTAGCCTTTAACTATAGTTATTATACTTAAACCATTTAATACTGTGGTTAGAAGACTACCAGATGGTTATTTTTCTTTGATTGCGAAAAGAAAATGACCAAATTTTTTGCACTACTCCATTTTGAAAAAACAACAACAACAACAACGACTTTTATAAATACTATTTGGTTTGCTCTTTTTAACAATCAAAGGGAAACTTTTCAAAAAACAACAAGCTTTCATAGAGTGACAATTAAATAATTTATACTAGACACTGTTGTGTTAAATAATATAATTTTGTAATTTATGTATAAATATAGTTTTAGATTTTTTTTACAAATGTGATCTAAATATTATAAACTTCCTCCAACAACATCTGATGCATCTGGTTCCACTCTTTCACCTCATCAGCAAATTCACATTGACAAACACACACCTCTCCCCCTGCATTCACTAATGCTGTCCTGACTTCATTCCCAGACCCCCATGTCTGAATTTGCTTGAACACAATGTCAGATGGTGGCTTGTGGGTACCTCCTCCTTGTGAYGCATAAATCTGGAAGATGAATTAAGTTCTTAACAAGATTTGTTCCATGTGGGATCAAATGCTTTTAACTGTAGCATACTGCACATGCTCATTAGAAKTKTKWKATRYAYWTTWTAKWKKTSWWWTTTT